TTTTTTAATCCCTCAATATAAAATTATAAACCCTATCGCATTCACTAATTACAATACATACTAGACATCACGCAACCGTATGCTGACCACCAAATAAGTTAATTACAATACATACTAGACATCACGCAACTGTAACTCAACTGTTAATTCCAAAAAAAGAAAAAAGAAAGTCATATCACACCACCGGTGACTCCCGGTGACATACCCCTCCTTTATTTTAATTTTTAATTTATTTATTAGAATACTACTCTTCGTTTTTTTATCCTTTTTTACTCTTCTTCTTTATCATACAGAAAACCTCTTTGGAGGACGAAGGGTATGTTTGATTTACAATACAATACATACTAGACATCACGCAACCGTATGCTGACCACCAAATAAGTTAATTACAATACATACTAGACATCACGCAACTGTACCTCAACTGTTAATTCCAAAAAAAGAAAAAAAGAAAAAAGAAGGTCATATCACACCAAAAAGAAAAAAAGAAAAAAGAAAGTCATATCACACCACCGGTGACTCCCGGTGACATACACCTCCTTTTTTTTAATTTTTAATTTATTTATTAGAATACTACTCTTCGTTTTTTTATCCTTTTTTACTCTTCTTTTTTATCATACAGAAAACCTCTTTGGAGGATGAAGGGTATGTTTGATTTACATTTAGGAGATGAGTTTTAGAAAAAAAAAAATTAAAAAATTATTTGTTTTGAATTTTTTTTAAAAAAATTTCAAAATTATTTTTTTTCTCTTACGAATCAATCAATTACTTTTTCTCTTTTCTCTTTTTTTTTTCAATTATTTTTTCTCTCATACACATCTATTCAAATTTTTTTAAAATATCAAATCATTCCAAACTCTCAAAAAAAACAATTCTCTCAAAATATACAATTAAACAAACTAAAAAAATTTCTAAACTCCCCCACTAAAATTTTTTTCCAAAAACAACTTTCCATTAAAAAGTAGGGAGTCGGAGAAGTCGTCGCTTCCCAAAGCATCAACAACATAGGGGCGATTCGTGGAAGAACTTATCGGCGGCGATTGCCTATAGTCGATTCAACCAGATCTATTGTAGTGGAGAAGTCAAGTCCCACGACACCTCTCTTCTTGCTTCTTGGACTTCTCTGCGTTTTGATCTCTACTTTTCCCTGACAAATTCCTCCTCAAGATCCCTAAATTTCTCGACTGAAATTATGGTTAGATTTTGAATTTTGGCTCCATCTTTTATCCGTTCAATCTATTAACTCATTAATTGTTTTTCTACATCCATGAAATTTTGTTAGATTCTAATGCTTACCATCTCTTTTTTGTTTCCCATACACTTTTTGTGCGTACAAAAGTTCCTTACCTTTTTGTTTTATGAATCTGTTTGCTTGAGTTTGGTATCGGATCCTTCATATAGTTTGATTATCACATAATTCACATCTTTTTGCTGTCTTGGGATTTTGTTTATGACAGAAAAAATTGGTGCTGAAAGTGGACATCAATGATGAGAAAGTCAAGAACAAAGCCATGAAATTAGTCTCCACCATCTTAGGTACTTTTAATTCCCAAACTTTTAAATTTTGTTGCTTAATAAACTATGCACACACAATAGTAAGGAGAATCAATCACAAACGAGAAAAACACTACACACAGATTTACCTTAAAACAAAATTTTTATATCACGGCTCACACCAATTCCACTTCACTAAGAAGAGAAAAAGTAGAATGTGACTCACAATTATATATATACTAGGGGGATGACACTGACATCACTCTGTGAGCGTAAGTGATATGTGTTTATTCGAATTTCCTTATAAACGTGGGATGGGTTGTTATATTGTATGTGCAGTTACATTTGGATGGGTAGTTAGTCCTTCCAATTAAAGTGGGTAAAAGTTGAATTAATTTGTAAATAAATAATTATTGAAGGATATTTTAGGAATAAGAAAAATCTACAGAACTCCAAATACAGGAAACACCAATTGCTGTTCTCCTGTTATATATTAGTATAGATGTTAGGGTTTATATCAACAAATTATGGTAATACATTTACGCTGTATTTGGTTCAAAGATTTTGAGAGGGATTTGGAAAGGGAAAGGGAAAGGGTGTGTGAAACTAGGTGACGAATGGTGAAATGTAAATAAAATTTACTTACATTTCACCTAGTTTCACACACTTTTTTCTTTTTCTTTTTCTTTTCCAAATCCCTCCTCAAATCTATGAACCAAACACAGCCTTACTACTTGTGACCCAAACTAATCAAGCTCCAGAAACCCAACAAATTCAAAGCAAGAAAAGATAACCCAGATCTTGCAATACAAAACTCTCCCAAGTTTGACTCTTTTTTGGTGTGTTATTTTGCAGGGGTTGAAACGATTGCAATGGACATGAATGAAAAGAAACTGACAGTGACAGGGGATGTAGATCCTGTGGCTGTAGTGTGCAAGTTGAGGAAGGTCTGCCATGCAAAGATACTCACAATTGGAACAGTGAAAGAACCAGAAAAGAAGGATAAGTCTAAGAAAGATGAGCCCGTGAATTCATATGAGACTGTGGAAGGAGGCATGGGGATAACAACAGTGTTTCAATTTATGAAAGGACTATGGAACAAGAATGATCCTAACAAAGATGAGCCTAAGAAGGCTGTAAGGACCCACATTCATATCTTAGTCATGCTTGCATGCATTTATATGTTTTGCCATGTTAAGTTTGCATTCATGAATCTTGTCTTGTTTTGCTTAAGTGTTGTATGCATGTTTTGTTTCTTCCCTGCTGTTTCAAGCCTAAGTCATGCCAAGCCTAAGTTGTGTTAAGCCTAGATCATTCCAAACCTAGGTCATCTTCAGTCTAGAACTATCTTTGAACCATTTCTGGTTGACCTCCACCTTTGCCGTAACGTGTTGGCTGAGATGTCGTCATCTAGGCCGAGGTGTGCATCGCCAAGGCCGAGATGTGTATTATCTAGGCCGATATGTTACCTTTGCACCCAAGTGATCTTGTTCCGGGACAGGTACGACCTAGACCGAGGTGTGACACAGCTAAGCCAAGTGTTGTCCTTCCTAGCCGAGATCATTGTTCAGTTACTTGCCGACGCCTTGTTATTAGCCGATGTCATCACTTGTCGGAGTGCCTTGCTGGGTAGCTTGTTAGATACACTTTGTCTTACACATGTCTTGTCAATCTATCACCTTTTTGAGGGGAACCAACCAGCCGTTGCCACGTGTCCGAGCTGAGTGTTAAGTCAGCCGGCAGAGAGAGAAACCTATCATTTGTTATATCCTTGTTTTTGAAGAGGAGAGAGAAGCTCTAGGTGAGAAAAAAGAGTTCTTGAGAGAGGAGTAGATTTCCAAGCTTGATCCCTAGAGATCGAACCGTTAGATCCGTGTTCTAAGGTTAAATTCTTGATTTGCTTATGTTGTTCCTTATGTTCATGTTATTGCATTGCATGATTGAATATGATTTGTAAGCCATGCATTGCTTTGAAGTTCGGTTTTAGAAAGAGAAAATGGTGCTCATGTGTTCTTGAAGAAAAGTCTTGTTTTGATCCAAAAGCTTGCATCAAGAACCATGTTTTTGTGTTTGTTTTCATATGATCTTCAAGTATGGGTACCTAGGTCCATGTTTTCGAACTCATAGCATGAAATCCCAGATTTTGTATAAACAAGTTATGATTTTAGCATTCATGTCCGTTATGTTCTTCATGTTCTTCAACCCAGATTTCCAGACTTCACTTCCCGAAGTGTAGTCGCCGAGATCACTCTCACCCAGACCTCACACTTAGGCTAAGCATCGTATCTCACCTTGGCCTACCTTGCATGATCACTTGCACCTTAGTCTGTCTTGCATGAACACCTCGGCATGCAGCCGCACGCCGAAGCCTAGGTAACCACACCTCGGCCAAGAGGTGTGGGGCCTCGGCAAAGATCTGGTTAGTACCCAGCATGTCTTCTTGACATGTAAAACAGTGTTTTAACTCCCAACATGTTTTTCCGAGATCATTTGCATGCATGTAAGACCTGTTTTGAGAAGTACATTCAGTAGACTTTGCCATGTGTTTGTAGGACTTGGACCTTTGCTTTGATCCTGATGTCCCAAGAACTAAGTGAGTGGTATTTCTAATAAAGTTATGTTATCAAGTTTTAATAAAGCTTTGCCTTGTTTTGATAAAAGTATTTGTTAAGCATGAATGATATCCCTATTTTATGTAACAAGTATAAGTTTTGTTTTGGGTGACATTCTCGGAAAGTCCCTTGTGCTGGAGGACTCTAAACTTGTGCAGTACTCTCGTGTTAGGAGGGCTACGGGCCTTCGTAATATAGGTCCCTTGTGCTGGAGGACTCTAAACTTGTGCAGTGCTCTCGTGTTAGGAGGGCTACGGGCCTTCGTAACATAGGTCCTTTGTGCTAGGAGGACTCTAAACTTTTGTAGCACCCTTGTTAAGATATCGGCCACCGACGGACTATGAACGGGTGTGCTCGATGCCAAGGTTATGCTGTTGTTTTGCCCGGAATGTCATCACCCCATGTTTTAAGTTGATGTATGTTAAGTATCCCAAGCAAGTTTTGATAGACCAAGGTTTGATTGAAGTTTTGTTACAAGTCAAGCTAAGTTATGCCATGTATTGTTTGAAAAGATCTCGGATATCATTCATTCAAAACCTTTATTACTTGTGCCATTCACTGAGTATCCAAGCTCACCCTCTCTATATATATGTAGGTGGCAAGCAAGAAGTCGGCTACACCGAGATGTGTGTTTTGTATGTACGTTACGTCGGTAGTGAGGATGTCGGCAATCTGGAAGAGTATGTTTCTTGACTTGTATTTCATGTATTTTGTTTATGTCGGCTTGAGAAGCCCTTTTGTTAAGATGTAATATGTATTTTATTTTGTTGTATTCAAGTTGTAAGACTTTAATTAAGATGTATGACATTTCATCGGATCTATGCACAGTTCTTATGGACTAATTAGATTCAATATATTGCTTCCGCACTTGTAAGCCCCATATATTATACTCTGATTGTGTGTGATTCCTTGTAAGTTGGCTTTCGATAATCTCGGATTACTGGCCATCACGGCACCATTCTACTAGGGGCGGTTTGGGGTCGTGACAAAGGCAGATGAGAAGGAGAAAGAAAAACCAACAGGAAGGAAAGAGACGAGACAAATAGCGGAGGATTGGATGAAAGAACCAGAGAAGAAGGTTTCTTTTGTCCCAACCCATGATCTGAACAAGTTGCAGATACAATCTAGTACATGTTCCTCAACACTGAGGGCAACCCCCGATCCTAACAAAGATGAGCCCAATAAGACAGATGAGAAGGGGAAAGAAAAACCAAAAGAATGGGAAGAGATGAGACAAAAAGCTGAGGTTTTGATAAGGAAGAAAGACTTCATCCTACAACTGGTCTTATCATACCCTATGAAACCAGAAGCAAGAGCAAATAAAGAGAATTTTGTTGAACAACTTGAGTTCCCTTTTTCCAGTATGAAACAAGACATGAGAAGACTGCAAGCTTTGCTATCAAATAAAAATATTTACGACAAACATAAAAGTGAAATAAGTGAGAAAATCAAAATTGAGATGGGGGACCTTTTATTCAATATTGAAAGAAGCCTCGCCATTTATGATTTTCATGTGGTGGCTTATTTACCTAAAGAAGCTGATACTACAAGTCCACATGAGAGTTTAAGGTGGAGAATTGAGGTTGGGCTAACACGTCAAACCAGTGGTTGTACATTTGAAGTGCCAGATGAAATGTTGACATTGGCTATTGATTCTGCTATTTGCCAAGTCTCAAAATGCTTCGAAGATGGAATATTGCGAAAGATTGGGATTTCAGGGAGCGAAGGGGAGAAAGTAGCAAAAGCACTGATAGATAGACCAACGAATAGAGCCAAGTTTAGTGTTGTCCTCTGCGTTTGTGTCTCACGACATCATAGCAGCGAAGAAGTATGGCAGAACATCGCAAAACAGATTCACGGACTTGAAGAAACAGATGACAATTTCAAGGATCCACTAGCTTTTAACCATAAATTGCTACCTGAAGAATTCTTGCTACTTGTGGATTGTGTTGATGGGCAAGCAGATCTACACGATTTAAGAATCCCCGATCACGGATTCGTAGTGCTTACAACTCCCTCACAAAATGTTTATGAGATAATGGAATTGGATCTGGTGGTCAGAATGGAGGACCATCTTTTACCCTGGGAACTATTCTGTAGAAATGTGGGCCCATTAGTTGTTAATTCTTCTGCTGTTATCCAATAAATGGCCATCTGTTTGGTGAAAGAGTGCCACTATCACTTACTTGCCATCATTCTTCTTGCAAGGGCCTTGAAAGATGCCACTGATGTTGGTGCGTGGAAACTTGCAGTCCATGAATTAACATCACAATCCTCCTGCGAGCAAGCAGAGGGAATGAGTGAAGCCATGGTTCATGTGTTAAAACTCATTTGGATTCAAAAGGACATTACTACAAAACATTGCATTAAAAATTGTACACATCAACAGCCATGGACGACAAATTCACTAGTACCAGATTGGATCCAGAATGGTTTAATAGAAACAGAGGCAGAAGGAAAAGTCATTCTTGAAGAACTTATTGATTCTTTCTTGCTAGAGAATGTTGGCAAGTCTTATGTCCAAATGCGGGATGAAACTAAATTGTCCTGCAGGAATATTTTATACCTAGTCTTTTACTGAGGCAAGGGGGATTAGGATTGACTGAAACACCAAAGGTTGAAGAGTGGGTTAACGCCATGGAGATTGAGTTGATGAATAATAAAATATCTGAGCTACCAGAGAACCCCAAGTGCTCTCCTCTCCAAAAACTGTTGTTACATAACAACTATGACCTGATGGAAATTCCTGAATCATTCTTTGAAGTTATGCCTCTCCTAAAAATTCTAGATTTGTCCTATACTAGCATAAAGTCTTTGCCACCTTCTATTTCCAGATTGGTTTCACTTCAAACATTCTATTTGAGAGGTTGTGAACTTCTCAGGGAGCTGCCGTCCCAAATTGGAGCACTTGGGAATCTTGAGGAGTTTGATCTCGAAGGAACTCGAATAATCTATCTACCCAAGGAAATTGGAAAATTAGTCAATTTGACATGCTTTAAGGTGTCTTTTTGTGGACGTGCAAATCGCTACAGAAAAACTAAGCAGATAGAAACAACAATCCGCATAGGGGTGTTATCAAATCTCTGTCGATTGAATGAATTAAGCATTGATGTGAATCCAGATGGTGAATGGTGGGATGTTGATGTGAAGGCAATTCTTAATGAATTGAGTAGCTCAAAAGAGTTGAGAATCCTTGAGTTGTATCTGCCATCAGTTGAATTATTGCAACAAATTAGAAGATGGGATAACACAAATTTGCATCAGTTTACATTCACTGTTGGTCGTCATCGACAACGCATCATATCCCGTCTACCACATGAAGTTGAAGAGATATCCAAGAAATGGAAGAAACATAACAATTGTCTGGAGTATATAAATGGTGAGGACATGCCATTTGAGATTATTGGACTGTTAAGATGCTTTCTGAATTCAGAAATGAAATGCTTAAACTCAAAATTTGCTTGTTGGTAGAATGTAATGAACTGCAAACTATTATTGATGGAAATTACGAACATCAGTCGGGTGTTAATAAGGAACCTATATTCAAATGCCTGGAGTATTTGGGTATTCATTATATGAAGAATTTAGAAAGCATTTGTAGAAGTTCAATTGATGAGGCTTGTTTAACAAATTTGATATCTTTGTCGTTGCATACCTGCCCCAATTTGACTACCATTTTCACACCATATTTGCTTCGTAATCTCAACAACTTGAAAGACCTTATAGTTGAAGACTGCTGCAAAATCAAGAGCATAGTATGTCAAGAATTTTCAGACTTGAAATTTGGTTATGCTTTCCTAAGATTGGAGAGGATGTCACTCCTTAACCTACCTGAATTGGTTAGTATTTCAGGCGGTCTAAGTATTGGTGTAATGGAAAGTCTGGTTATTTATAATTGTTCAAAGCTCGAAATTCTTTATGCCACAGAAGTGTCTAGTAATAATTTGAAGATCAAAGGAGAGAAGGATTGGTGGGACAAATTAAAGTGGCATGAAAGCAATACTCTTCCAGCTTACGAGTAACTTCATGAAGATTCAATGGATCAATTAACTAAAGACATCTATTCACACAACTGCGGATGCTTTTAGAATAGCAAGGTAATTTCTCATATGCTTTTCCATTTAAGAAATATATAGTAGGTTTTGTTCTTTTCCTCCAAAGCATTTATTATATCAAACGAATCAAACTCTCATACCGGCATTGTGATCACTCTTATATCTCCTTTATTTCAAGTTAAATTGGGGTGACATCAGACTGTAACCACGAAACATGCTTAATTAAATAAACAACCCGCTCTTGATTCCCTAGCTAACTGAACCCTCATCCATGTGGTTAGAACTTGATAATGAATTACTTCCATAAGCAGCAAATGCATCCAAATTTCAATTTTTTTTTTTTTTTCACTAGCCTTATTATTAATTTACAAGCAGAGTGAATGAATAGGGTCACTACACGTCTGAAACATGACATTTAGCTAACCAATTTTGTTATTGACATTATTTATCATCTTTGACATTTGTCCGGTGAGTGACAGGTTATGACAGTTTCATTAAGACCCTGTGGTAGAAGGTTGGGACATTCAATGTTGTTAAGGAGCTTAAGCAGAGGAACTGTTGCTACTAGTGGCTGCAAATACCACTAAATCTTCAAGCAAAACCGATCAGATTAAGCTTCAAATAAAGCTTGTTGGTTAATGTCTTTCTTGTATTAATTTCTGCTTGTTTTCAAGTCTTTGAATACATGGGATGTGATGCTTTATTTTCTTTATCTGTTTTAATGTCTTGTTTGGGTGCAACGGTGACAATAGTTGTTGCAAGTGTTATTTTCTGATGTACTTGTTATTGTTGTTTGCTTGAAATCTATCAATTGTTTTGTTTAATGTATTTTGGTGACTGACACGTCTGTATATATCCGAGGTTTTAGTGTTCCTTGAAGGGCACTGCCATATACTTTGCCGACTTCTATTTTTCAACAATTGTACTGAAATTTTATAACTCATCCATTGATATGGAAGTGAAATTGACTGTACAAGTTATGACCTTATGTATTAATTGCTTCATGCAGAGGATGTTTCAAAATCTACTATTCCATGTAACTTCATTCTATTTATTCATTTGAAAATACAATAGCTACCTAAAGTGTAAGTAACCTAAAGGAAACTAGGACATGACTTAGAACTATGTCCAGGAAATTACAGGGATTTAGACGGTAATTATGACATGTATTTGGGGGATTAGTCTGAAAAAAAACCCCCCAAAAGCCCTTGTGAGATACACAACTAGGACATGTCCTAGAAGTGAGATCAATATTTAAATGTGCAGATGAGTCTTATGTGCTGCAATTTTTATGTTTTTTCACCATCTTTTCTGGGGAACTTTTATTTTCTTTGATAACTCCATTTGACGGGTTGACTTCTACCTTTTGAGTAAAACACCAACAATATTAATACTGGAATGCGGAAAACTGTTTTATAAAGAAAGCGTGGTTAGAAACATGCTTTTAAAGAAAATTTGGTTTTAAAGGAAAGCGTGGTTCATAACCACGATTTTAAACTAAAAATAATCAGTAGTTATTATTATTTTGATTGATTTCTCCTCAATTAACATTCCATAATTCACTTAGTTATCTTGTAGATCTCTATATATAAATTATTCATATAAAATATCGTATTGATAAACAATCTTAGCTACCAAATTTTATTATTTTAATATTTAAAAATAAATTATGTAATTTTGAAATTATGTTTCGCATCAATTATTAGCAGCTTTATTTTCTGTATTCATAGGGCTCCGCACCTGTTTGTATATAGGGGCCATTTCCCAAAATAAGTCAAATTACTAACTTATTTTTCAAATTAAGTCTAGTATGGCCGAAATTTTCAAAATAAGTTGAAGCGTTATTCCAAATCACGCTTCCACCATATTTCTGGCTCAAACGAGGAAAATGGATAAAATCATAAAAGCGTGGTTATAAATCATGCTTTTAATTAAGAAAGCGTGGTTAGAAATCACGCTTTTAAGGAAATCTGTTTTGTAAAGAAAGCGTGGTTAAAAATCACGTTTTTAAAGAAAACTGTTTTATAAAGAAAGCGTGGTTAGAAACCATGCTTTTAAAGAAAATTTGGTTTTAAAGGAAAGCGTGGTTCATAACCACCATTTTAAACTGAAAATAATCAGTAGTTATTATTATTTTGATTGATTTCTCCTCAATTAACATTCTATAATTCACTCGGTTATCTTGTAGATCTCTATATATAAATTATTCATATAAAATATCGTATTGATAAACAATCTTAGCTACCAAATTTTATTATTTTAATATTTAAAAATAAATTATGTAATTTTGAAATTATGTTTCGCATCAATTATTATTATTTTTTAAAATGATAAAATTATATGTACGATTATCAGATCAATTTGATATTTATATAAATAATTTATACATAAAATTTTAAAAAATAAATAGCATGAATTGTCTAAGGAGTAGTGATTAGGAGCTCTAAAACTAGAGTTCTGATTTAAGCTGTAATGATGTGGCATAAAAAAAATAAAAAGAAAATCACAAACAAGCAAGCAAGCATAAACATCATATCAAAGATTATTAAATTAAGATTTTACTATTGAATCAATGATCACCGCTTATGACTTTAAAAATATAAAAGTAAAAAAAAATGAAAAAATGTAAATTAAATATGTGCTTAATTTACCTGATATTTTTAAATTTTTATTTAAATATAAATTTTTAAATTAATTTTTATTTTGTTATATAATTCAAATATAATTTAAAAAAGATCGATGATGGATAAAAATAAAAACAACAAATAAAAAATTAAAAATTAAAAAAGAAGAAAATAATGGCCTCGAGACACGCACCCTCTCCAGAGAACATTTTGCGCAGTTTTGGAGAGATTTTGTCGGGGCTTTTTCCAAACTAAGCCCTATACTAATTTATTTCCCAAACTAAGCCTACTTTTGCGGAATTTTCGAAACTAAATATTTGCTGTTCCCTTAAATATTTGTTACCAAGAAATATCTAAATAAAACTTCATACAGCATATACAAAGTATCTAATTTGCTAATTACTACTACGAATTGGAAAACAAAATAAAAGTATGACTATAATACTTATAACACTTTAAAACGACGTAGCTAGTTCAAACATAAGTATTCCACTAAAATAATTTGTGGAAACATTCAACATAACACAGTACATAAAATAAAGCGACGAGTACAGTACTTAACAGTTATATAGACAAATATTAGACAAGCCTTTCACAAACTCATTGGCGAAAGAGTTATTTTAACACACACAACACATAATTATGAATAACCTAATATAATTTAGTAGACAGATAGACACCTAATCCTTGCTCAAATCAGCAATCTCAGAGTTCGAACAATCTGAGAGCTCAGGGTTAGAGAGAAGTGCATGATCCTCCTTGATAGCCTTGATAGCCGCAACATTTGGTGCTATTACGTTCTTCTTAGCATCCAACTTAAGTATAGATAGTTTCATATCGTGGGCTGACCTACGACACATTTTAGAAATCTCATGTTCTAGTCTTTCACATAGTCGATCAACATTATCTAGATCTCCCTTTTGGATCTCAACTGAACGTGCTTTCAGCACCTTCAGTCGATTTTCCTGACATAATCTTTTCATTTGCACTCGCTCTATAAATAGTGCGGGCCACTTCAGAAGTCTAGCATCTACTAAACCATATCCTGTTTGATTATCAGATGGATCCTCCACGAATCCACATGGATCTCAATGGTACTTGGGCATGGGCATGACAAAATGTCGCTTCCCAAACCTATCATGATAAGCACAAGAGGCATCTAACAAAACAAATGGTGTTTCATCTTCAGCATCACCACTTCCTCTTCATGCTCCTCTTCCTCGGAGTGAACTCTCACCTCTTTCGAAGTTCCTACCCCCTGCGAGTCCCCTTCCTGTTCCTCTTCCTCGTCGTGAACTCTCACTTCTGCAATTCCTACCCCCCGCCGTGAATCTGTACTCCATTTGATTTTTTCTCAATAGATGAACGATAGTTTCCTAGGGCGAACTGAGTGGAAAGGTTGTGTGTTTACCATCACTCATTCAGTCCTTTATATAGTTGTTTGTCAACAGTATTGCTATGTGGTCGTATTAATGTGACTTAGATGAGTTCTGAAATATGAGAAAAAAACAAAGCATCTAAGTCGTGCTACACAAAGTCACATGCATCACTGCATGTGAGGAAAAAAGTCACAAAGTATATAATTTACAAAGTCAGAAAGTCACATGCATCACTGCATCACTGCACAAAGTCACATGCATCACTGCATCTGAGGAAAAAAGGCATATGCATCACTGCACAAAGTCACATAGTATCTGAGGAAAAAACAAAGCATATAATTTATTATGTCTGTTAAAGTCACTGCATCACTGCATTACTAAGAAATGTTGGACGTATCACTGCGCCGACTTTGACGAGACTACTCACTGTATGAAAAAAGCAAGAGGTCGTACCATAGCTATTATATCCATGTGAACTTCTGCAATTCATAATGGGATGAGGGGGTGTCAGAATAAAACAACAAAACAATTAGACCCTTTGTGTTTAAAAAGCCACCCTATGCAGCTTCAAATAGATTCATAAACCTTGAAAAGAAAATATTATAGAGTTAGAATGTATTGAAGATTAATTTGTAGTAGAGTACTTATAGATGGGTATTTCGATGTATAGAACTTGAAAGTGTTACAGATAAAAGCTAGCCTAGTATGCAGACAAGAACAACACCGACTTATATCAGCACATAGTTAACTTAAAATTAAATTGGTTATATTTCTCCAATTAAATTAAATTAAATATGTAAGGTGAAAAGTGAAATTAAATATATTGTCAAGACAAAATAAATTGAATTATATTTGTAAGCGGAAAAGTGAAATTAAATTTTTAAGCGGATTTGACCTTTGTTTAAAACCTTCAGATATGCACTGAGTAGTCAATAAAAGTTGAAGTGACAACTCCTATAAAATTGATGCATAGTTGTTCAGGTCATAAAGGTTGACGTGACAACTTTGATGCATAGTTGTTTACAATAATTTGAAACATACAGCTACCATGTGAACTTCCTGAAGTATCAGTACTTCATTGTTAGTATGTGAGTTTAGAGTTTATAAGACATGAATGCTTGCATCCATCTCCATTTTGAATTTGTGCATGTTACAACAACTGTGTATATGTGGTACAAATATCGCATCATACCACAACAAAAGTTTTATAGCTATATCGAGCGATATCATCATGAGATATACGGTGGTTGATCTATATTCAGCAATGGGTCGCCATTAGGTTACAAATGGAGATGAATTTCAATACCCATTAAATCCAAATTTGCGTTACTCACATACCGCCATCAATACCATGAGAGCTGAGTGGGAATTTCGCATAACTCGAGAAAACGTTCTCGTTGAGCTATGTCGTGAAGCTAATATTAAATTTCCTCGCCGGTTAACCATGCGTATGCCAATTGACACTCCACAGTTGTTGCAAAGGGCATTGCATCGGATCAGTGACCCAACGTTTGCAAAGGTCCGAACTAATGAAGACTGCAAATGAGCGTGCCAAAGATGGATTAATGGATGATGTGCACCAGTACTTCACCTGGAGCGTGGATGCTATGTATGAATCTGATATTGAGATGTTAGATGATGATGATAATGAATAAAATTGTTTGGATGAATGATCAAACCATTTATCTTGTAATGGATTTGTAATGCTTATCCACGACTTATCAATGAAGGGAGAAATTTCAATAGTTTCACATAGTCGATCAACATTATCTAGATCTCCCTTTTAGATCTCAACTGAACGTGCTTTCAGCACCTTCAGTCGATTTTCCTGACATAATCTTTTCATTTGCACTCGCTCTATAAATAGTGCGAGCCACTTCAGAAGTCTAGCGTTTGCTAAACCATATTCTGTTTGATTATCTGATGGTTCCTCCACCAAACCACATGGATCTCGATAGTACTTGGGCATGACAAAAA